CTCCTGCAGTGTCTCCGGATGTGTCCATAATTGCCACATTTGTGACACTTGAACCATTGACTTTGACTGCTGCTTGGTGCGTTTCATCGTTGATGAGTGTACCTACCACTGTTATTGCTGCAACTACTGAAGGCTGCTTGGATATCTATGTTGTTGAAAGTGCTCGAACTTCTTTTCTTCATTTTCTTCTTCATTTCTTGATCCATAAGCTTCGCTTTCACGAACTCCACCGTTAACTTGCTTTGATCCATTGTTTCAAGAGCTGTTACCAACAGATCATACCATTTAGACAATGTTAACAAGATATGACATTGACATACAACATCGGCGACCTCTAGTTTTGCTCCTACAGATTTTAGTTAGCGGGCAGCTTCTTCAAATTCAATGAGGTGGTCTTCCAATGGCTGGATCTTCTGTCTTCTATCTGTGATTTTACAAAACTGTTCGACCGTTTTATTCCTTAACTCATCCAGTATGTACACAACAAATTTCGTGGAATTTTCTCCATTTTCGTTGTCCGGACAAGAATTGCAGTGGAATTTTTTTCGAATTTCGTGATTTTCATGTTCAAAAACCCCCAGAGACCAAATTTCGTCGAAATCAGAATTTTTTTCGCACCCCCAACCCCATTTAAGGGTTCCCCTTCATGGTAGGAATTTTGAAAGGAATGTTTGCAAAATCGGAAAGGGCATACCTCAAAACCTGTTCAAAGACGTGCCACCAGTCTTTCTAACTCTTATGATTGCTGGGAAAAAAATGAAAGAAGAAATGCAAATTTCACCACTTTTACGAGGGTGGCTCCCAAACGAAACACGTTCGACCTCCGGTTTATTCGGAAAAAGTGCTTGTTTTAATCCCCTCTACTACTTTTTTACATACTTATATCACCCTGTATCCGGTATCTTGCTTTGAATTGGAATATTTATTTTCAGTTATTCCAGATTGAAAACGTTGGCGTGTTTTTTTTATTTTGTAAGTCAATGTTTGGGGGTTGCTCCTTTTTGAGTACGTTGTTTTGAAGTGTTTTCAGGGTGTCGTTTTAATTTTTCTACGAGTGACTTACATTGACCGTCAAGAGATGAAATCAGTGGCGGAGTAGCTACCGTTGGTGCCAGTGGCGGTCCACCAAAATTGCATCCTCATACATTCCCCCTCTCTTCTCCCATTCGCGTCCAAATTAGCAGCTGGGTAGGTAACGGGCGATCAAAATTCCAAAATGATTTGCTGTAGAGTCGCCTTTGGAAGTTCAAGTTACGATTTCCGATGTAAACAAAATTCCAAAGGTAACTCGACAGCAACTCATTTTTGATCTCATAGTAAAAGTACGGTGTAGAGACTTTTCGCGACCCTGTGCCACTTTTTTGTGAAATTTTTAATACTACAAACAGAATCAATCTAGCTATGTTTGTTTTTGAGATACGGGGTGATGCAAAGTTTGACTTTTTCGGATGTAAGATCCATGGAAGATAGAAAAATGTCAAAAGACTGCTTATTTCAGATCTATTTACGTAGGAACTAGAGGCGTAGACAAAAAAATGTTGGGCCACAGTTTCTGAGATTTGTCCCAGTGTTGGTATTTTTTAAATACAACACCCTGTATATTTTAACGTCAATTTTTGCATTGTTTTTCCTTATGACATTGATGTATCACAACCTATATTTTTTTATACCGGGTGAATATTCCCAAACCGAACATAGGGAATTAACATGGGAAAAAGGTGTTTTGTAGATAGTTGCTCCCCATGTTAACTTTATAATGACACCAATAGAAAGAATATTTTTTCCTCGTCTAATGATATACGAATTAGTTCATGTTCAGATGTATTTCTCACTATTTTATAAAAAATTCGGCAATAAATCCACTTACCAAAATCATGTTAAGCCATGACTAGTAGGACAAAAAGCAGATTCAAACGTCGAATCAATATAAAGCTTTATGACACCTGGCATAATTTTTTTGTAAAAATGCGGTTCCTTTCCTGAGGAAAAAGTATTTATAATAAACAACGTTTACAGCGGAAATATACTCTAGTACGCGATATTTGTTTTTCCGTGCATTTTAAATGAGCGTCCCATTTCGTCTTGTGAAAACCTAATTTTAATTCTTTAGGAAATTCCATGACTTAACATGATTTTACTAATTGGATTTATTAATAATTATTATACATTATATTACATATACAGTGTGTAAAGCGATGGGGTATACAAAGAGGGAATTTTTTTTAAATATTGATTTAATTCTTCATGATATTTTTTGCTTGCTTTGAAAGTACCAATAACGTTTCGATAAATCTAAAATTTATTTATAGAAAACAGAAAATAATAAATTATAAATTTTTTAAATTGAAAGTTTATCATTCTACACTATAAATCAAGATACGCGTATTGCATTCAAACCACAAACAATCGAAACGTTATTGATACTTTCAAAGCAAGCAAAAAATATCATGAAGAATAAATTTTTTTTTATAAATTAAATATTTTAAAAAAAATTCTCCTCTTGTATACCCCATCGGCTTTACGCACTGTATCAATATTGTTTTAAAAAATTTTAAATTACATGTTTCTACCGTCAGCCATTTTTATTGATTAGGATCAGCTGCCTTAATTAATGGATACAATAAACAAAACAAAATCTCCAGAAATACATGGCCTACTATTTAAAAACAGTAAAAAAAAAGGTTTTCATGGCGAAAATAAAAAAAAAAGTAAGTTGTGATACATCAGTGTAATTAGGAAAAAAAATAACAAACAATTGACGTTAATATATACAGGGCGTTGCATTTAAAAAATAGCCAAAAATTTTTTTAACTACGCCACTAAAATAGGCAGTTTTTATCTTTCGTCTATCTTACATGGGTAGTAACATACGATAACGTCCCAAAACGTCAAAGTTCGTTTTCACCCTGTATCTCAAAAATAAATGTTGCGTTGATTCTGTTTTTGGTATTGAAAGTTTCACAAAAAAGTGGCGCAGAGTCTCTATCTTTAAAAACAGCTGATATACACTACAGTCTCAACCAAAATAGGACACACTGTACAATGAAAACAGATATGTACAGTGTATTCCAAATTACTTGTTTTTTTAAATGTTTTTTTAGTGATATGTTGAGAACTAAAACTAATGAGTGATGCGGTTTGTACTTCTCGTAGTTACTATTCAAGCTGCATAGACCGACGATGTTAATTTTATGACTTGCGCGAACGTGTAAATATCAAAAAAAGTATAACAAATAAAGGTATGTAAAAATAGGTAAGGAGGTATTTTTTTTTGTTTTCAATAGCCTGCTTAGTTTTTAAAATACAACACCATTGACAATGTCGATCTATGCAGCTTTGAAAAGTAACTACGAGACGTGCAAACCGCATCACTCTTATCTTTTTTAGTTATCAAAATCTCCTCCAAAACATCGCATACAAGCAATTTGGAACACCCTGACGACGTGCCTTTATTTTACTAAAGTTTTCTACTAATCAACTAATCAACATAATTAATTTCTAGGGAGGTTTCTTTTTTTTTATGGATAACAATGCGAGACTGTGTAATCTACTTTTGCTTTTCTGTTTTGAAAAGCGCCCCACAAGTGATGCTTTTTTGATTGTTCGAATTTTTTAAGGTTTCTATTTTGTTTTGCGATTTTTTTAAATAATTCGAGCATTTCCAATATTCTTGTGACATAATTTCCGATTATAACCTACGAAATTTATTTTTAGTGGCGGTTTTTCGATTGAAGGATCACGTTTTGTAATTGTTTTTGGGTAATTTTTGACCTTGGAGTATTACAATCGTGGAGTAGCACGTTTTTGTAACTACGTGACGTGTTTTTCGTTTCAACTCACGTAATTAGAGCGAGTGGTCTTCTTTTTTTTTCTTGTTCTCCTGCCCATACGCCACAGCTAAAGAAAAGATCATACAAAATTAATTCTCAAAAGACTCCATCATCAAAACCAACAGCCTATTTGAAAATCTTCGAAATCATAAAAGCGTTTTTCGGAACAACATAGTAAGACCAGTTTCCTGGACAATTTGATTTTCGAAAGTAGGTTCTAAAATAAGGAGGAATTTTTGTGGTCTTGGACCTGTCGATGGTATTGTCTGGACGTTCTGGGGATGTAAATCTAAATTTTATAGCCGTTCACTTCTTGAAATTTTCCGGAGTTAGCGGGAGCCACGTATAAAATAAATCATTATAGCGAAACGCTAAAGCAAGCACGGTAATAACAATTTTATACTCTGACAAGGTTACCCATATATCTTGTTTAAAGGACCATCAAAGAACTTGTTTTTAATTTTATGTCTGTATCGGTTCTGTACTTGGTTTATTTGCATTACTGCAATTGCACTGAGCGCGTCGCGTCGGCTTGTGTGTCGGACTAAAAACGTTTACACGACCTGATCGTAATTTTACTTTGATTAAAGTGCTACGATGGTTTTGCGGAAGAGAAACGTCGAAGAAAAAACAACACTATCGAGGGACGCTCCGTTATGACACGTAATAAAGTTTAGTGCCAAAAGTAATTTTGAAGTAATGTAAAAAAAGTGCGTCGGTGTAAAAATGGGTCAACATCCTTCCAAGGATAAGTTATCCTATCCACCAACTATTGGCAAAGTGTCAAGCAGAGAAAGGTTTGGCAGTTTTGCGAAAAGAGGTGAGATTTTACGCAAAGGTTGCGGTACTTTATCAAAAGTATTTAAAACTAATGACTGCTTGCATAATCCGACATAAAATAAATGTTGGGACGAAAATAGCTTCTAATAATGATCATTTTCCGATCACACTTTCCTAGCAATTTGTACCTAATTGTGCTACTACTATTTTGATTCCAAAAATCTATACGATTTATACCATGCACGGTTTCTCGAGTAAAATCAATAGTCGGTGTCAGATTCTTCCTTTTCCGGATAGCAAATCAAATAGTTTTACACGTCGTTTAAATCTTAAATTTAAGTCGAGTTCAAAATGAACCATGCTAAAATAGTAATAATTTAATTGTTTCAGGTTCGGCGAAGAAAAGATCGGAGGTGGTTCGAGTAACTCAAGTTTTAACAGCCTCTAAACTTTCACCAAGAAGTGTTCATCAAAATACCCTTGCAGAAAGTAAGTAGTAATTATTTTATCGAAACGTCGACATTTTCGCAGCAACTCCCTTGATCCGTGTTTAATAAAGGATTTCAGAATTCCATATTGATTACTTTAGGCACGTAGTATCGGGTCATCAAAAAAGGATTGACGTCAAGTCACCGTTGGTAGGTAGTTTAAATTAAATGTCGACACCTTTTTGATCGCACTGTATAAGACCAAATCCATTATTCTAAAAACACCCTCTGATAGATATCGCAATGCAACATAAAAAGTAGCGGATTTGATTGATCAAGTAGTAAAATATATGTCACATTAGAGCCTTATTATAGTACATCTGTTTTGAAAAATTCCCACCCCTTAATGGCAAATGGCGGCTGCGAAACTTAACCTGAACTTGTATCTTAAATTCTTCCAATATGCAGGTCCACTGCAGGCAGCTTCCTTTGGACATTCAAATTCATAATGTTCTTAAAATTGTTATTAACTTTTACCATTATTTTTTGGCAAGACAAGTATAGTAGTACACCTAGTACTTCCTAGCTGTTTGAGTTCGAGCCGAGCATTATAAAATGTTGTCTCTAAAGTGAGCACAAGTGTAAAAGGAAAAAGTATAAAAAAATCGCTGCTTAATGTAATGATACAGTAACATAGTATTCCCTTCATAGCTTTGGTCACTTTTACCACCGCCAATTACATTTTTGAAACATACAACTTTTACCTGCACGAAGTCCGTTCGTTGTTTGATATTAGTGCCAGGGTGGACGGAAAGAAAGAATTTTGATGGGTATAGAGTACAGGCATAGACGTTTATAAGTTGAATGTTCCACTGTACACAATGCACTGGATCTTCACAACTTCCTTTAATGCATTGTACAGTGGAACATTCAACTTATAAACATCTATGCGTTTATAAACACTTTGTTCATTCATTAGGAGTGTAGAGGGTGGTTTCAACGGCGCGCATGATTACGATCTCTATACCTATCTTCATTCATAGCACAGCGATTGAGGAGGACAATAAACTTGGGAGCCTACACTACTCTCCCCCGATTCCTTTTTTCGATGATACAATCTATAGTAAGAAGTAAATTCGTGTTTATTTAAGACGCTAAATTTGCGCATGCGTTTACAAATATTGTTTGCGAAAAGTGCTCGGCATCATTCGGTCCGCTCGCTCGCTCGATGACTTCATGTCTCTCTGAACCCTGGTCTGAACGGATGGACCGATCCGATGATATTTTGCCGGTAGATTCTTTATTAAATTTGTAGATCGGAGTTCGTGAATCGTTGGTTATGAACCGAATTTTGCATGAAATTCAAAATGAACTTTATAACTCTAGCCATATAATACGCAATTCCAAGCTATATTTGCTTCCACATTTATTGTAATAGCAGTTTTATATTCGTTTTTATATAACCCTTTCCAAGAATTAGAGTTAGTACTTTACGAGCATTTCGTCCTAGTCGGGTTGCTTCTCTTCTAAGAATAGAACGTTGTGGCGTGGCTTCCACCGTGCAATGTTCCGCAAACTTTTTATGTTCCAGGTACACCTACGAAATCGGGTAATTTCAGAATAAAAATTCAAATCAATTCAAACAATTTAGTACAAAAAGTTTTTAATGCGAAACATGAGTTTGTTTTATTGACCAAAAGCGTAATCGTTGACAGGAATGTGCTCCTTTCTTAGGCGATCTTTTGTGTATTTATTCTACTGTAACGTAATTATGTGACTTATTTATTTACAATTAATTATATAAATTTATAACACTTATTTATTTATTATTTATTATCCCTCTCTTGTTCTGGGTCCTCAACAGGCTTGCGCCCAATTACAGAGTGACCCGCATAATGATTTTTAGAGGTGCCTCTCAACTTCTTAAGTTGATTGATCTATAATAGTTAATTAATATTTATCTCTCATCTGTACGAACGTAGATTTATCACATACGAACGTGAGATCACTACTTAGCTTCGGCGTCGATGTTGGAACTTTAATTAATTAAACACGCTTCAATTAGCTTATATAGCAAACGGAAGGTTTTTAGAAAAAATCACGGAACGTTCTCAAAAAAGTCTAGAAAGGGTATCATATTTCAAGAAAAAAATGCGTCGCATCCGGTTTCATTTTTTATCGCCTTTATGGCGCCTGCCGGCGCCCTGATGTCTGGGACAAGAGTTAAAATTAAGTGATTCGCCGCTGCGTAGGTATTATCCGTCGGTACACTGAAACAAAAAATTATCGGATAGCTACTGTCATTTAAACTTCTACATTCTTCAACAGACATATCTTCACAGTTTTCTTCCTATTTCTTTAATTTCATCCATCCGAATAGTGAATAGTAACCAACCGGCCTTTTTAGTGTTTTACAAGAACAAGTTACAGTCATTTCATACACTTTCGAAATTTTTGTCCCATACTAATAATCAATGCTCAAATAATTTGTCAGTGGTTAGAGCACCAGAACGAACTGAGAGGACCCAAATTTAATTGATTCATTCGCCTGATTAATTATAAATTTGGTTTTTCACTCGATATAGATAATTTATTAAAATGATGTCACGAAAATATAGAAAGCAATTGTAATATTCTTGGTAAATTGTATGATATTGATGGGTCAGAACTTCACAGTGAAATTGTGAACTGTAAAATGCTTCTTTCCGCCAGACCAAAAGTCTTGTAGATTTAACTTTTCTTATACCATATGGTGATGACGTTTTTCTGAACGTCTTACAATTCCTACTGACTATTTCAACTGCGAATTGTTACGCTCTTTTAGCAAATTAATACTTCATTCGATAAAACTCAGGAATATGATACATCACTGGCGACGAAATATTGAAGTACGAGGCCCCTTTGGTGCCGAGTACCTACCTACTTTAATTTCCTTTTTCTTACAATACAATTGAGTGTACTCCCTGTTGGTATCGGCGGAATCAAAATAAGACAGGCACAATGATACGTTTTTTAGCGCATTTTTGCAACTCTTGTCAAGGAGTGTTATTTTACGGACGAGTTTTGTATTAAATTTTACCCAAAATCGTCATGAAACCTTCATTTTCATGTCTACTTTATGTTAGGGAAATGTTAGTTTTCATGACGCAGGCGGACCAGTCTACTTAGTGTAAGCAAGTTAGTTCGTAAAACAAGGAATAGAAGAAAAAATTTATAAAGTTTTAAAAATTTGGATATGAACTCTCAGTAGGGACCCAAATACAGATCTGAAAAGTTCCCACCTCCCCGGTGGAAGCTTCTTCCCCTTTTGCCCAAAACACCACTCCCAATCGTGACCTCGCGAAACACCACAACTTCTACGAAAAGATGTTATAGGACTTTTTATATTCTCCATTAAATTCTCTATAAACATGTTTCTTACTGTTTTTGGGTATCTCCCACCCAACGCTCGTAAATGACCTTGGAAAATAAGCATAGTTTTCAGCGCAAAGAGAAAAATGAGCCCACCGCTGTTTTTTGCGGCGATTATCTCGTAAAGTGAATCTGAGTAAAAAAATTTATAGAATCGAAATTAAAGAGCAGTTTTTTTTTCTACATTGCATGTTCTATTTTTGAATCTTTGGTAAATGTACATGAGATAAATGCATCAGTTACAATCATTATTGTTGCCGCGAGACGAGACGAGACGAGACTTTCAAAGTCTCGTCTCGTCTAGTGTCGTTTGGTCTCGCGTGGTCTCGCCATACTATCCAAAAATGGCGTAAAGCATGTATAAAAGACACCACGAAGGCATAACAAATAATATTGACCTTCCTTATCTATCTGCTAATCACGAAACATAATTATGTGTATTATAAGGATTTTCTTTACCATTCTGCAGCTAAAAAAATATTAGCTTTCGTAAAATTTAACTGGTAATGTAACTACTGTAACTAGGTATCTCACTGAATTCTTTGTTACTTAAATACTTAAAGATAATCTGTCCAAGTTATTTTGTAAAATCTTGCTTTTATGGTCTTAACTACGCAGTAAATATGTAAGTACTTATACTTACAGTAACTATATTTGAATATGTCATATGTCCACAGTATACATTTTACCTTAAGCAGCGCCTTTGTTCACAGAATTTGGCAAGAACACAAAAAAGTGTAAACTCATACTTAAAGTACCTAGGTATAGCATTTTAGCCCCAATATGGCGACCAGAACGAGCTACCAATCAAAAACGAGATACCCGGTTGTATCCACTGTTCTAAATTGAGTCACTATACCTATATACCTAGAAACGATTGGATTTAATGCCATAAACTTGTGAAAATAAAATGAGAGCATTAAGGGCATTTAATATAAAGCAATCCTATTAAGTATTATTACCAAATCTCTTGATAAGGGTACAGGTTTAATAAATCAATTGTCCGCCAAATTCCTGGATTTAAGAAAAATTACAGTTGTATAATATAACACCTATTGTAATTAAGTCCTAAATCAGTAAGGTCAGGAACGGTTTATATCAACAATTGGAATGCATGTTATTTCAATGGATTTTCTTGATTAAAATTTTAAAAAAAACAGTAAAATAAAACAAAAAAAACTTCGAGACCAAACGAGAGTCGAGAGCCCGAGACTGATGGTTAGTCTCGTCTCGTCGAGATGAGACAAGACGAGACTGAACCTTGGTCTCGTTTCGAAAATTCGAGACGAGACCAACGGGGGCATCACTAACCATCATATCACAAATAGTGAACAATTAATATTTAATTTCTTCATCACTCTTTCTCCATCGGACAAAGCCATTCGCTTTTTGAGAGAATATTAAGGAAAGGGCGTATAGTTCCCATGACTTACACATTTCGAAAGTTTTAAAGGGTTGCAAATATAATATTTTATTTGCCCTTTTGCCTTTTTTTAGGAGAGGAAAATCGCAGACTATAAACTTAATAAATTGAAAAAAGAATTTACAAGAAGTGGTTGTAATATAAAATAATCCCTCATCGACGAAAATTGCTCTTTAATTTCGATTCTATACATTTTTTTGCTCAGACTCATACAAGGTCATTTACGAGCGTTGGGTGGAAGATACGCAAAAAACAGTAAAACACATTTTTATAAAGAATTTAATGGAGAATATAAAAAGTTCTATAACATTTTTTCGTAGAAGTTGCGGTTTACGAACAAAACGCCGAAAAAGATCGTGAGGTTACGATTGGGGGTGGTTTTTTGAGCAAAGGGGATAAAGCTCCCACCGAGGAGGTGGGAACTTTTCAGATCTGTATTTGGGTCCCTACTGAGAGTTCATAACTAAAATCTCAAAACTTTATAATTTTCCTACACTAACTGTTCCTGCCGCACCTGTCACATTGATAAATGTCTATAATAACTCCTGTCATCATTGACAGATTGACATTAATCAAAAGTTCTATATGAAAATGGAAATTTTATATTAAAATACGATTTCGGGTAAAATTTAATACAAAACTCGTCAGTAAAATGACATTACTTGACTCGGATTCAATATTTCCTCGCCAGTAATGTGTCATTTTCCTGACTTTTATGTAAATAACTATTACACGAAATCGTCTTTTTTAATATAAAACTTCAATTTTCATATAGTACTTTTAATTCATGTCAATATGTCAGTGATGACCAGAGTCATTACCAATGTGACAAATGCGGGCGGGGACAGATGAAATTAGTAAATCCAAAATGTTAACATAAATTATATTTTTAATAAACAAAAGATTACACAGTTACACTTACACTTTGTCCAAAAAAACAAAACAGAACGTAAAAGAAATTATTTATGGCTATAAATATTAAGTTAAACTAAGTTTTAATTTTCTAGGTTTCTGTGCGAGTTTCTCTAAAATATTTTCCACAGAAGGGGTCATGTTTCTATAAATGTTTAGAAGAGTTAAGCCATTTAGTCGGTTTTCGGAAGAACTATTTCTTAAATAATTTTTGATTCTTCTCAAAGTTGAAAAACTACGTTCGCCTTCCGGAGTAGAGACAGGCAATGTAGCTAATATAGCAAGTAATACCCTAATATTTGTAAAGGTGTCTGTAACGTGTTGTAAAGCCCTTAAGGCATCTCTGGGTCGATCTTCATTTGGCAATCTGGCGATTGCTCTATACCAAAGTCTAAGTTCGGCAACTAGCTCATCTATAGTTCCTGTCAAATCATCTTTATAAAATAATACTAAAGACTGGAATTCAGTTAAGGTTTCCTCGGAGAGGATGGTCGGATCTTTGGGAAATAGGGAATGATTAATTCATAAACTATTGTGGGAAAAGATTATTTTAAAAAAATCTATCAGTGCTTAATTTCGGGGGGGGGGGGGTTAACCCCGAAAACCCCCCCTATGGGTGCGCCACTGGTATTACGCGGAAAGTAGTTACAATTAGTAACTTTGGGACCAAGTAATTTAATTGTTTTTTTAATCATTTTTCATCAAGACACCTGTTCATATAATTAAGCCCCAGTTGCACCAACAAAATTAAGCCTTGATTAAAGTTAAATCTATGGCAACGATTATTAAGACAATCCTTGCTATGGTATTTAAGTTATGCTTAACTTTAAGGGATACTTAATTTTGACGGTGCCTAAATCACGTTTTAATAAATGGAACTTGTAAGTAGCGCTGATCATTGTAATCCACTGCTTCTGCTTCGGATGGATCACCTAATTTTGTTACGACATTCTTCGATTTGAAATGTTCTTTCTATGGTGTTCGAAAACACCCTGGATTAGAATCCATCATTAGTGGGGATTGAGTTGTAGGGCTTTTGCTCCAACTTTTCCTTTTTCAAGCCTGAACTTTCTAAATTTGTTTTTTTGAGCCCAGTTTTGCAATGCCCTCCTTAGACTCCTGCTTTTGTTTTATTTAAGTAGGTACGTGTGTAATATAACTACACATCAGGAGTTTGCTTGGACAGCTTGCAAGGACACTGTTTACTCCCAAATTCATTCAACTTGTATCACCATGACTTCCAACTTTGATTAGTCTCCCTTAAAACACGGACATTGTCGGGTTCTTACCACGCGGAAGGATTTAAGGAACAGAAGAGCTTTTTAGTACGCCATCGTTGATCAAATGACCACCACTTGAGACATAGTGTGAGATCCCCTGTTCATTGCCCGGAATGTGCGAATACATAATTAGAATTATTGATACTAAAATCATGCGCTTTTATTTTCGTAAAGTTCAATCTGTGCTCGAAATATTATATTTAGTCCATTTCATGGTCGCATTTCGCACATTGAACTAAACAAGTGAATGTCTAAAGAGGTCTTTGACATCACAAGCGAAAGAAATGACCACCTCTAGTAATTGCAACACGCGGACAAAGTTTGGGCCCTCGTCTTAAATACTGTTCGTGCAAGGCTCCGTAATCCCAAACTGAAAAAATGTCGTGGGCGAAATTTATTCAAGAACCCAATGATCCACATAAACAAAATGACCTACAAATTATGTAACACCTTGGTTACATGCGTTCAATGAAAATCGGACGTAGGAGATGGAACAATTTAAATTGTGTTTAGGACAATAGCGAGGGAAGAGCTGCGACTGGTTGACCGTGGTCGATCCATCCAAGAACAAGTTTGCAGGTGGAATACACCTGCTAAGCATATGTGCCACTTTTAGCACGGATTCAAAATACGGAAGCCTCCCTTCCTGAATAATTCATTTTTATTTTTAGTATCTTGCATTATGAGAATTCGCGTTAAATGTTATACCACACATACACACGTGTGTGGTGGGTTGCGTAAGGAAAGGCGTTTTTGCTTGATGTTATCTCTAATTCCCATCATTACATTTCATATGTTTCAAATTATGTCTTTTTTTGTTTATATTTTTTAGTCAAATTAACGTATGTGTTTTGGTTTAGTAAAAAAGATGATGATGGTCCTATTTTGGGCGATTGGTGAATTGTGTCAACTGCAACTTAGGTCAGGGATAGGTACATCCGCTGCTTGAATAATTAGTGTTATTGTTAAGATGTGGATTTTCCAATGGAGCAAGTTTCTGAAAAGCTTCTTGACTATACTCACTTCGAAGGATGTAGCATCATAATAATTGGTTCCCTGTGAGTGTATTTTGCCATTTACCTAACAAAAGTAGTTGATGTCCATTAAGCCTTGGGCGCCCCATGTTAAAACTATAACATGTATTTCCCGTTCGTTGAGGAAGTGAGTACTGTGGGTGTTGAACCGTGACATTACATTTACATCTTTTTTGCATTCTTTTTAAATCAGACAGCGTTGCCTAAACCTTTATGAAGAAAATTAGTAATATTAGATCTTCAGTTACTTGGTCAGTTTTTTTTTGCTTTTTTGGTGTAGTGATTTAATCGTATTGGACGTGGAAGTTATTTTTCCATGGCAATCATGGAATTACGATTAATTAGCAGTATTCGAGTATAACGTCAATATGACTTCACCTTATTTCCCTTATTTTTAAATTATATTGCAGGTATAATAGAAAATATTATAAGAAACGCGCTTAAACTCGTTGCGCGTACCTTAAAGACTTCATTATACACTTGTTTCTTAATGTACTATTAATACACTCCCAAATCCACTTCTATGTAACTTCTTCAATACATTTGCTAATAGAAAAGAAAGCACTGTGTTTGTACTAAATGTAAAGATGTAAATTACTGCTTTAAAAATTTCAGACTGGAGGCATTGTACGGGCGCAAGTGGTAAAAGCGCAATTTCAAAACGCTGCCTGTACAGTGAGCAATATATCAATAATACCTAATTAGTAGTAAAATGTTATTATGATCCCAGGATTTATTACCGTTGTGAAACCGCATTGAAAGGGTTCATAAATTAGTGGAAGAATAACTTATAACAACGTTGCAAATACACGACTACAGTTTTTAATTATCGTGACCCACATGCCGTGCAATATTTTAAAACCTTTGATCGGCCAATAGAAGTAACGAGCTAATTTTCCCTTTTCAGATAAGAAGAACGTTGCCAAACTTTCAAACGATGTCAAAACGCCACCTCGAAAAATTCTGTTCACGCAGAAAGACAAGAAGCTGACATCCACTGTATCAACAAAAGGTAAGTGTATCAAATCATGATGTAAATGTGGGAGTTTTTCTCAATATCACTTACAAACCAGGTGAAGTACAAATATCAATTAGGCACATAAAAGGTTTAATTAAAGCAATCCTTAATAGCGAAAACGTGTGAAATTTGTTATTAGAAACTTGGAAGCGATCCTTCACTCTGTATATGTAAGTAGTCCTTTTGAAGCGACAACTTTTACTATTGTGTTACGAAAAAGATTTATATTACGTTTTACAACACTTTGCTACCTTTTACTTTTTATACAACACCTGATTTCATTACAACTGGCTTTAGTCTCAATTTCCCATATGCGACTATGGGATCGAGAGACAAAATGCAATTTATCATATTTTGGAAAAAGCCTTGTCGATATGGAGCAAGGTACTTCAAAAGTTTGGAGAAAAATATAGAGATTAAGTACAGAATAAAAAATTGATGATGATTGAACACTGTCGAAACGTCGATCATAACGAAAAAAATAATTAATGAGGTAACAGAACATTATGCATAATTTAAATCGGTGCCTTTTAAATTAGAAAACGTGTGAAACTTATTAGATAATTAAAGTAATTATAAACAATTAATAAACGTCAAAATTTATAACACGTAAAAGTTAAAAAACCGGACTATCTGCAGGCGGAATAACTTCAGGAGATTGTTAAAGATACTTTAACCTTCCTCCTTCACACTGTGTATTTATCATTGCTTAAATAAACAACTCTTTTCACGCTTGAATACCTCAAATGCGTAACGGCATTGAAAGTTCTTCCGATCTGCAGAGAAACGCGCGTGGGCGGAAAATTTGTTTTGAATAACGCACCTTTCCATCTAAATAAATCGTTGAACCGGAATCATTTTCGCTTTCTTCCAGTATTTGCCAAATTATGTAACGTATCACGTGGGCGTGCAGTTTATTAAAATTTGGGCATTTATAAAAACGACAACGGTGAAATTGGATAATTGACGGTACAATTAGGAATCGAATTAGATAAAAGGGAAAGTGGAATGACGCGAAAAACGTTGTATAACTAGCCGGTGTCATCAATCTCTTTTTTGTGCAGATTTCGTCAAAAACAATGGATCATTTCCGTTTTCTTGTTTATTTTAGAAATCCCGCAAATAATTTTTTTAGGCCGCCTTTCTCGTCGACTAATATATTGTTTATATGTAGCTTCAATATATGGCAAAATGAATAATTCATGTTGTATACAGCTCAAGCTGTTCTGCCAATGAACTCGAATGCTTGTTCCATTGAAGTTGTCTTCTTGCTATCAAATTCACTTCATGAGCCCATTTGTCTTGATTAAAGTGTAATGACAATTTTCACGGAAATTTGTGTAATTTGAACTCGAAGCGTTAATTTAGACACAAAGTGACAGATTACTTTGAGTCTATGGGAAAGTGTCAACCCCTAATCTACCTAGAATATTTTTACCGTACGTGGGAAAATTGTCACGGCGTTATCCTTACTCCTATTTTTATAATCTTAAATCGCTGTATTAAGGCATTTTATTCTTTTTCTGGATTAAAACTGGATAAAAGGACTTTCAAGTATTTTAACACCCCCTTTCCCTGAACACTTGTCTAAAAGGTTGGCCAGTTTCTGTCCATCGAGACAAGTTACTAAGAAATAAACGTAGTGTAATGACCCCTTCAAATTTGACCCGGATAGCAAAGTGTAGGTACATAATTTCAACAGAACCAGTGCATGCACCTCGAGGATTGAAAGTTACTATAATAAAATGGAAAATGAATCTTTGGGAATTTTTGAATATAAAGTATCCAAGTTTTTAGTGGTACCACAATTTGTCCTTCCACGGAAGCTTTAATAATATACGTGCTTTTGCATTTACCATTGTTTAATTACGATCGAATTGGGGAACTTTTTAGCGAGCTATCCAACAGTACTGTACAATAACGGAGCCACATTAGGGCCAAAACCAAATATTTTATTTTATGTTACCTTCGCAAATATTTGGAACCGTGATAAATTGCCTGTAGGCGAATATTTACATTGTTACTAAATTTATTTTATCAGATAAATATTATTGTTGAAAAAATACTGTTACATTATTATAGGTGTTGAAATCCCTCCCCCTCGTCCGTACTAAATAAAATTGATCCTATATGGCTCTCCCGTTACAATACATTCGTTGTCTATTAATTATTCGGCCGTATTTTTACCAAATATTTCCATACTTGCAAAGAACTAAATGTTTAATGAAATACCTAATTAAAATGCTTTCATTTCAAGTAACGTCTTGTTTTAAATTAAGAAAACATTATTGTTAAAGATATTCAGATAACGGGATGATTTAAAACCAATTAGTAATTAAATAAGAGATTTACTGAGACGGCATTATGCAACAATTACTCGCGGACTGATTTACAGGATTGCGAAGACATGAAGAAGTCGCGATTTGCAACCACCGAAATTAGTATCCAATAGTGAAGTTGTTTCAATTTGGAAAGCGTGATCAAATGTCAAGTGAAGGAATAAACGACGTGTCCAAATAGAACAAGTTAAAAACGTGGTCACTCGCGACCGAGGAAAGCACTTTTTCTCCGCACAGAATCATCAGTAATAACTCGAGAAGGAAGTAACCATCCGAATAAACTTTTGTCGTTCTGGTCTTTGGGCTGTACTAGTACTACACCGTATAAGAAAAAAATCACAACGAACTGGAGGACTAGTAGTGGTACAGACGGACAGAGTGCAGACAGTTTGGAAAATGCGCTAAAAAAATCAAAATTTGTTAAATACTTCAATCCAAGTCCCGAATGCAGTCACGTCTGATACTTTTCGCCTCTCCAAAGGCAGTGATCGATCTCTACGACTTCGAAGGGAAGGATTAACTTACCTGGTGGGCCGCTTCCGAAATGTTTCGCTAAAACTGTACACTGCACACTGTACCGTTTTCTGTGAAACTTTTAATACCACAAACAGAATCAATCTAATAGGTATGTCTGTGTCTGAGGTACAGGGTGAAAACGAAAAATTTGATTTTTTGGGATGGTATCATATCTTAATATCCATATAAGATAGACAAAAGGAGAAACTGCCTGCTTTAGATATGTTTACGTAGAATCCAATGGCGTAGTCAAAAACATTTTTGGACCACCGTTTCTAAGATTTGGAAGTGGGTATTTTTTAATGCTACCCCCTGTATTTAACGTCAATTTTTTTCCATTCTATATCTTGATTACATTAATGGATCACAACCTATATAGTTTTTAATTTTAGCCATGAAAACCAATAGAAACCTTATTTTTTACAGTTTTTAAATAGTAGGCCTGGGATTGATAGAGATTTTGTTTTGTTATTGTATCTATGGTAACTAAGGCAGTCGATACCAATAAAAAAATGGCTAATGGTAGAAACATGTCATTTCAAAATTTTGAAACATGATTATTATATACAGGGTGGTGACTTGCGTAACGCATTATAGGGATTTCAATGTAAAATTCATAACACGCGATTATTGGCTCCCTAAATTATTTTAGACCAAAAATGTATTAAGGTTTTTTGTAGAAAAAAATTTTTTACGCCAATCAACCGTATTAGTTTTCAATTTTTTGCACACTAAAGACGGAACATTGGAAAAATAAACCCCCATCTTTTTCAATAATCTGTGATGCCATGGAATTTTATAATGCAAAACTACGCCAATATCCGTCATGCCATGGAATGTCTGCTATAAAACAAATCAAATTCTATCAAAAAGTATTATATTTAGAACAGCGAATTCAACATAAAGAAAGACCAAATTACTAAAAACGGTTTCCTAACCAAGTCGATCATAAAATCCATTTCGAACTGCTCCTAATTGATAACTGGATATCTTTTTGTTTTAGAAAATTCCATGGCATCGCAGATTATTGAAAAAGATGGGGGTTGATTGGCGTAAAAAATTTTTTTCTACAAAAAAACCTTAATACATTTTTGCTCTAAAATAATTTGGGGAGCCAATAATGGCATGTTATGAATTTTGCATTGAAATCCCTATGATGCGTTACGCAAGTCACCACCCTGTATATATGTATATATATAAAAATTATGTCCAATTTTTTTACTATGCCACTGAATTTTTACGTAGAAATATCTAAAATAGACAGTTTTTACCTTTTTTCTACCTTACATGGATAGTAGGCTTTGATAGACACACTTTTTGTTTTCAGCCTGTATCTCAGATACAAAGGTAGCTAGATTGATTCTGTTTGTATTATTAAAAGTTTCACAAAAAAGAGGTACAGGGTCGCAAAATCTTTAAAAAAAGATACCCAGCAGTCTCATCCAAAATAGGACACACGATACTTCGCCGACAATAATTTACACTCCACAATTTTATCACGAAGTAAAAACCCAATTTGTAACCATGGTTACACGAAATTAATAAATAGAAATGGCAACCTCGGAGGTTGGAATCAATGTTTTGTAAGGCGTATGCGGTGTTAAGATCTGCAGAGAGTATCAAAGAGCGGTAGCACCCATAGTAAGTGGGTTTCTGCAATAATAGCTGTAGAAAGAGGAACAGGGAATCAAGAGAAAATTTGCATGTGAAAGTTCAAATAATAATAACAAGTATAGTACGTCGGGTACATGGCTAGAATGGGGAAAATACTGCACTTTTTGATTGGAATATGCCACTTTCTGTGGTAATAGTTAATACCAAAAGGCAATTTTTGAGATAGGGAGCCACTCGAAAATCCGTGCAGGAAACCAAAATGGTGGCCGTCAAAATGGTGCCATTAGCCGCAATATATTTTTTTGTATCTCCTAATAATCCGATTTTAATTTTCTTTTTTTTGATTGAAAGCTCTTGTGACGAGGAAACTTTTTTGCTATATAACATTTATCTCTAAAACTGAAGGATTTAGCACAATTTTTAAAAAGTTTTTTTTTACGAATTTGAATCACAAGTAAGCTCTTAATTGTGCAATATCCCGGTTTTTTCGACAAAAAAGGCCATCGTTCAGAAATTCAATCGGCA